TTAGTGTGAGATCCTATCAAGACAACACTTCATGTAATTGGTCTTAGTTGATCTTTGTTTTATCCAAAACATCACAACTACCAATTTCAAATGTGCAAGTATAAGAAACATTTCTACTCCATATTTCATGAGGCATTATAAACCTATTTAAGATGTGTCACTCAATGTACAATCTTGGAGTATGACTCTAACACTTGATATTGGAATGAAGTATGATTCATCTATTTGATTTAACCATTTCAATAATTCACGATTCCTCTTTGCACCAAGGTGTCCTTAGAGGATCAATTGTGACATATTTCCATAATCAATAGGATGATCATAAAACATGATACTAAAGTTCTTTCCTTTCCATTCAGATTGGAGAAAATCTTATCTTTCTGCCTAATTGATTCTTCTTATTCGTTCTGCTATACATTGAAGCTTTTCACGGTATTAGAATTGCACTTAAACTTGTAAGCATAACCATATTTACTGAACTTTCAGTAAATCATGACGAATATACTTTATCGTCCTTTGTGATGGACCTGACCAGTACACATCAATGTGTACTAGATCCTTTCATCTTTCACTTGACTTACATACATATGTAAACAAGGAATTAGTCTTAATTTCCCAAGTACCAAGATTTTCATACATCATATGATTCCAGGTTTCTATCCAATTGAAACTTGGGGCGATGAGAATCTTTCCTTACTTAGAAAATTACGACACTACCACAATTAATATAACTAAGAATAAAACCATTTTCAATATTTCTATTAAAAGAAACATATAAACTACAATTTTCTCAAATGCCATTGCAAGGAAATATAAAATAAAATCAAAACTTTATTTATCTATAAAATGCGGAAAACTGGTCCTTACAATGCAAATACATATGAAAACTATGTTTCTAAGCAATCTATCATAACTCCTAAACAGCAGTTCAAAAATCTGATCATCGAACCATGCAATCGAAATACATCTCTTCGCGACTAGACTCAGCTCACTCTTCCTTTAAGCTTCCTTTCCTTTCTTCGATCCTACAAAACATTAAAATGCAATCTTATCACATCATGTATTAAGAATCTTCAAATAGGAATTTAATAGAGTTAGATAGTGAACTTACCTGAAGTAGAGTCATACATTTTGACTTTACCATCCTTGCGATCTTTCACGCAGTCAGGACAGCTTCGCTTCCAATGTCCCTTCAAATGGCAGTAGAAACAAGTGGACTCTTTGGCATTCGTACATGGAACTATCTCAGAACTAGCTTTTCTCTTATGATCAAAACTTTTGACCATGGAAAATTCCTTTCCCTTAGGAGAAGGAATCATTTCTAGATTTTCATGTCATTGCGTTTGTTCATGGCAGCTTGGGAAGTAGATCTCCCGATCAATTATGCTTTACTAGTGCGCCAAATCATTGTTGATTCGGCAGCAACTAGCAGATACGTTAGATCGATAAGGGTCATGTCGTGATCTGTCACATAGTAGTCTCACTATATGACTTAGGAAGTGAATGAAGAACCAAGTCAACAGCCAGCTTCCTTGGGAACATGACACCCAACATTCCTAGCCTGTCAAAATGCAGCTTCATGTCCAAGACGTGAGCACATAAAGACTTTCCATCTTCATGTTTGCTTGCCAATAGGGCTTGAGTGATCTTGAACTCTTCAAGCCGACGAACATGTGGTTCAGGGAGAACTATTGGAGGATGTGGAGTTAGAGAAGTTCCACCAAAGCACGAAGAAGGTATTGATCTTTCACCTTGATCGTCACGTGGAAAATCATCTTCATGAGGGAAGCTTTTTCCAAAAGGATAAGGTAGACCATAGTTGTCTGAACTAGACATCCACAAGGGGAGAAATTCAAGTTAATTGATTTAAGTCCTTAATATAACACCCAAATCAAATATTAAGGCTAGGACCCAACACAATATTCTGCAATTCGGAAGAGGGATGCTGTAATCCAATTGAAAAATATTTGAAGGTAGGTAAATGACGATTTACCAATTTCCACCATGAAAAACGAAAGTGAAGATTAGGTTTTAAATGAATTTGAAATTCCTAGATTCTTTAAGATTCATTGAACTTTTCGATGGCATGTTTAATCTCGATTATGCCCTTCAAGTTTGCGACTGTGATACCGAGGATCACAAACAAGGTGTGAATAACCATGAAAATTAGCATGGTACTCTTGAAGACATCTATCACCTAATCAATGTGCCGGTTAACCACACACGCTCCATTAATCTGTGATAATCTTCGAGCTACCCATTGCCATCCTACATTAGTCCCAGATTAGTGTGTCGGTTAACCACACACGCTCCACTAATGACCAATAAGGTGTCATGCGCAATTTCATGGGTTAGCATCAAATTCACATTTTTCGTAAGTAACTAAGATTGGGAATTTATAAAAGTATTTAGTTGCTTTATTTCATTATACTTTTAATGAAAGTTTGTGTCCTATCCTACCCGTTCGGCTAACGACCCTCCACTGGTCAAGAGTGCGGTGAGTAAGATTGGATACCCAATGGCGGTCATTTTACACGTCGCTTCCTTAAACACCCCTTATAGACCAGCTTCATGAATGAGGCCTACTAACGGTGAGACTGACTTTTTACTTATACATATATAATATATTATACTTTTCATTTAATATAGTATAAGGGTGTATTTTACACTTTTAAAATACTAGATGGTTTAATCTATTAATAAATTATACTCTTAATTTAAATAAACTTAATCCATGTTATTATGGATTTAATAATACTCTCTTAATTAATCTTTTAATTAACTATTAATAAAGCCATAATTATTCCTTCTAATTGTGTCCATTTAAATTTCTAAAAATTATAACTTTTAATTCTAAATTTAAATTCTGAAACCAAAAGGATGTAATTTAAATATTTAAAATACTAGGGTTTTAGAATTTAACATTTCATAAATGAGACTATTCAAATTCCAAAACTTGAGGGAAAGCTTTGAAATACTTCAAAACCTTTTGAATACCAAACTTTATGGCAATTTTTGTAACTCCATAAAAAAAATTTTGAGTTCCAAAACTTGATGGCAAGTTTGTGACTCCTAAAAAACATTGAGATCAAATTTTGAACTAATAAAATAATCATATATATTTATCTTTTAACAATTTCACCTAATACAACTCATATAGCAAGACAACTTCAAATCAAAAATTACAAATAAATTAGCTTATCATATAAACTAGTAATTATCTTAAAATTTGACAATTTATTTTTTAATTAGATGGGGATAATCACTACCATATCAAAAAAATCAGCTTTTATGATAGAAAATAGTTTAAGGTAATGATCCTAATCCAATTATTGCCAAAAAAAACCTGAAAATCCGCCAACAGACTGTCTAACTCTTCGAGTCCAAGCAATAAACTCGTCGATTTCATCATGAACTCGTCGAGTTCCATTATGAACTCGTCGAGTTCAGCCTGGGAGAAGGCCGATTTCCATTTTCTTCAGCTTTGAACAATTAACCAATGCATCAATATAACAGAAAACATTTATGGCTCTGATACCACTATTGGGTTTTATGTACTATAATACTCCTATTCTACACATACAACCCTAATGCTTTAGATCTAAGTTTTCTCTAGTTATACATGCAATTTTTTCATTTTCCAAAGCATGAAGCCTAACTAGCATACAACATTGATATTTTAAACATAAAAACTAGTTAGATGATTACCTCTTTGTTGTAGATTGTAGAACTCGGTCTTTCAAGAGCTTAGCACCTCAAGTGTGATGCCTCAAATGGTTTACAAAACACCACCAACAATTGGAGGAAAATGAGAGAGAGGCTAGGAACCACCAAAATCGGCTAGGGTTTCCTCATGGAACACAAGTGGCGATTTTAGGGTTGAAGGGGGTTACATATAAAGTGTAGAATTCTAATGGTCACTTGTAAACCCTAATTCATACACTTAGGCTTTTAATCCAATAACACTTCATGGACTGCATATAAACTTAGTCTATTGCTAATCAATTAAGGATCATTAGCCCAAACTATATGTATCACTGATTTACATAATCAACCCCTGTTAATTTAATCAGTCTCTTTTGATCACTAAATTAATTCCAAATTAATTATTGATCAATACCAATTAAATAATATGATTTCTCAATTAATATATTAATAAATCACATATAACCTCTTTCTCACATATCCTTCCTATCAAATTGCTCCGGTGAATGCAACCCAAAATGGACCATGCTACTCTCGGGTCAAGTAGATATTAATAATAGTTATGGGCTTAAACACCTAATCCAACATTTACGACATGAATTTACGATACACATTCATAATGTGCCTTTTAGGCATAATAAAGAAACAAATATACATACCACACATTCAATTTCATCTAAATGTCAAACAAAGTATCAAAAACATTATATTACACTAGATCTAAAAAGAGGATGATACCTAACATTCACACAGTTAACAAAAAACATTGTATACCACATGTCAGAAGATGATGCTTCATAAAATTTCATTGTTAACAAAAATATTGTTTGTGGATACAAAAAATACCGATAAATGAAGCCTGTAACAAAAGTCGACCATTCTTCACGGATTTCATCAATATCATCATTTGTGTATTCAACTTTGCCACCCCCAACCTGAGAAAAAAATTACATATAATGTTTCAGTTATAAAAAATGATCCTTTCGTTAATAGTGAGTGCTTTATTCAACAAATAAACATAAAATGTAAATTCTCCTTTTTATATTAAAGCATCGTACTTTCAAATAAATGAAAGTATGTTGCTATTTGTTGCATATAACTTAATATTTCAATTTTAATTGTTATAGGAGGATGTTATATTCAACAAATAACCATAAAATGATCATTTTTTCAAATCCTTTATTATTAAATTAATGTAGTGAAAGTAGAATGCTATACATACATAGTCATTGACCAACACTTCAATTCCTTCCTCAACTATCTCCTTCATGAACCTTAACATGTAGTAGCCACACTTAGTACTTCCTGGCTGAACTGGATACTACACAATTACATATAAATGATCATTGCAACATTGATCCAAATAATAAAGTTAAAACTGCAAATTCAATAAGGAATTAAGTGGTGACCGTAACATTAACCTAGTTTAGTGTAACCTCTTGCTGGATCCACTTCGGGTAGCGTGTAGAACCATTGCCCTATAAAAACATTTAGAAATAGTTATTTACTTTATTCACATCAACTGTTTTGATAATTTATATTACATAGTAATCAATAATTTGATTCAACTACAAATTAACATTGTTGGAACTCATGGAATCAAGATAATAGCAAGTAGCCAATTTCATGTCTAGCACAGGAAACACCCAATGTCTTCTACAAAAACCACAAACCAATAGCAAGATAATACTAGTCATTTTCAAAATAAAAATGTATTTATTGTATTCAACATCAAATGGAAAAATCAAACCCGATATTATAGGGCAATAAGATGATGTCATTGTCGTTTCTTATAGACAGGCAATCTGCAACACTTCTACTTGCATCATCAATATTCTTCGATTTCCCTTCACGTTTACTTGGCGAGATCACAACTGGGTTCACGAAACAAATTCCTTGATCTTTTTTGTGGTGGTCCATACTTGATTTTGTTAAACAAGATCCTGTTAACATACAACCACTAAATTCATTAAATAAATTTTATTTTAAGATCTTGTTATTTAAATTGCACTTGCATCATATAAGACACAATGACAGATTCGGTTAGCTCATCCAATATAAATAGTGCTTCAAAATCATCCAAATTTAAGTATGTCTAACTGTCGTACCCAAAAAGATCGTTACCACACTGCTGTTTTATAGAATCAACCATTGAAACTTGTCCATCAACCATACTTGCAGTCATTTTCAAAATATTACAATTTTCAATTCTTATCCTTGTCTTCATTTGTGCTCTCGTCCATCTTTTTTGCATGGTCTCATTTTGTATCTCTTTTTCTTTTCTCTTCTTTTTACTCTTCTCCTTTTCATTTTGTTTCTCCATTTCTTTTCCCTTCCATTCTCTTCACTCTTCTCTTCTGTTCCTTTCTCTTTTTCCTTATCACATGGTTCTTCTTTTATAGGTGTTGCATATTTTTTCTCTTTTATTACTCTCTATTTCTTGTTTTACAGGTGTTGTATTTTTTTCACTGGTTTGGCTGCCACTTTTCCCTACAAAAATTATAAATAAATCTCAATTTGTTTCAACATATTAATCAAATAATTAATACATAAATAAATGGAATATAGGAATAAGATATTAGTTAGTTAGTTATTTAGTGGAGTTGTTTTGATTAAATTTGTTAGTTAGTTGAGTTGTTTTGATTAAAGGTTTAACTTACAGGTAATTATAATTTTTACTAAACTTTTAGAGTAAGTTATAGAAATGGTCCCTGTGTTTTCATGAAATTCACAGATTTAGTTTGATTTTGGATTTTCTTGAAACTGTGGCCTATATTAGAGAATTGCATATTATATTAACCTTGTAACACCAATAAAATGATTTTGTTAAATATGCTTCTTAACGGCTTTACATATTATATTAACCTTGTAACACCTTGCAAATACACATTGATATTGCTTTACATGTGCTAGGTTTGGCATCAACAGTCAACACAGTCTTTTTTTTGCTAGAATAAGGAGTATACTTATCTACTAAGGTTGTTTGCAATATTTTTTGTTAAATATGCTTCTTAATGGCTTCAATTTGACAGAATTGCAATATGTTTTGTTAAATATGCTTCTTAATGGCTTCAACAATCAACACATTAATGTTGATTTGTATGTTCTGCACTCGGATGTTCTGTTATATACTTTGAAAATTTTCTGGTTAAATACTTTATCATTGTAAGGAAAAGGATAAATAGAATGAATTATGCATTAAATATGTGTAAATAGTATTACCAGGTCAGAGCATCGAATAACTAGGTGTCTCAGCCAACTTAGTATGTGCCCACTTGCATCTTTGACCTTCACAATGAACTCCTATTCAAGTGGAATAGGTGGTAAAGCTTCTCCTTGTAAAGGGATTTCCATCATAACTTGAATGTTTTCATCTATTACATAAAGGTAAAAAGTAATTAAAATCCAATTTTCTAAAAAAAAATAAAATATATGCAGTGGTAATAATGCAAATATTTTTCATATTACTTGATGCACTATACTTCATTATGGTTCCTTTAGCGACTACATTTGAGGCAATGTCAACCGCAATAAGACACGAATTATCCTACAAATATATTATGTTAGCTTGTAGCCAAGACTTACAATGAATTCTTACTTTTAAAATATACTTACAAGTGATTCTTCAAGTGGTTCGTTTTCAAAATCTTCAATATTGCCCCATATTTGGCAACTTGCGCCTTCAGAAACATTACATGCACCTCTTTTGAGTTTCTCTAAGTCATATTTAATTTTGTTAATAGTTTATCCACCCTCTCGTTCTCAATCTCTAAGTAATGCTTAACATTCTTGGGTAAATAAAAGTATTGTTGTGGAGTTATAATTTTACCCATCCCACGTACACGCCAGTGTTGTTCCTCAGTACCCAAGGCCTCTGTAAGCACATCATGTGTTCCACATGTAACCTCTCCAAAACTTCCCGATTTCTGCAGCTCATCCTGAAAAAAATGGGAAAAATGTTAGAAAAAATGGGACAGATTGTGTGTGAATCTGCGGACAGATTCATGTTATCTTTTTTATATTTGACATTCAATGAAACTTACAATTCTATCAACAATCATCTTGACATTTGAGTCGTATCCTCCTATTTTCAATTCTCTCGCTTCTTTCCACAACATTGACCTATCAATCTCCTCTTTCGTCTTGCCAGTTTCTTGCATCTAAATTATCAAGAATAACAAAAATTAATTAACATAAATATATACAAGTAAACTATTTAATAATTAGTAGGATTCATACAATGTCATTAATTAGTCCAGCATATCCTTTTCTGCACAAACGATGATTATATTTATGATATGCACAAGTTTTTTTAGCTTTCTTACTTTTTTCCTGCATTAGAAACATTAAAATTGTAATGCATGTTTCTAATACTTAATTATCATTGAACAAATGCAGATATGAAAAGTTTAACAAACCTTCCACTTTTTTGTAAGTCTTTGGGATACAAACTTTTTCCAGTCTTCTTTAAAAACGGATAATCAGTCGGAGGTGTGAGTAGATTTTCTTCTGGATCTTTACTTTGTTTCTTATTGAACTTAGCATATCGATAATGTTTGAAGTTTCTCTACTTTTCCCCGATCGATTGGAGAGCGTGCTTCCGGCTCTTTGGGTCAATTACTAATTTTGCCTAAAACATAAAACATAAACAATATTATTTTCAACAAATAAAAAATAGATAATTAGAAGTTAATATCAGATTAATAGACCTACCAAAACATATTGCCATAACTCATCCTTTGTCTCATCACTAACTTCTAACCAAGAGGCATAAGTTATGGGCACCATTATCCTTGTAACCAAACCCTCAAAAGTAGATAGTTTTGTGGCTTCATTTCCAACTGGGACACCCTTTTTATTGTAAGTTATTACTAGTTTCGCTTTATTCGCTTTTGATTTGATCATCGGACCTCTTTGTTTGGAGTCCTCATCATGATCAGAAACCGAATCTGATTCCATGTCACAAAAATAACAACATGTTTTAACAAGATTCAAATAAAATGGTTATCTACAACATGGAAAAAATTAAGTACATTGTTATTTGTTGCAGTTGGGACAGAATTAATCAAATTCAATATCTAAAATAAAAACATACCAAAAACTTTATTATTCTGCAAAAAAATAGTTTAATCTAATATGCCCTCGCCATCTGGGCACGTACACAAAAAATCATCATCAAGGTCTAATAAGCGGAGTCTTGTGCTAATTCAACAGTAGCATAAAATACCAAAATATATCATCAGTATCATCATTTGCTCCATACTTGTACATCTTATGTGGTGTGAAGCCAACAACATGAAAATTCTCATTTTGTTGATCTTGAATATAAAAAACTTCTTTTGATTGACTAGCTAATATGAAGCGTTCAGACTTATGACCAAGCCTAACAAAGTTAAATACTGTGAATCCTAAGTCATCCTTTTTTACTCCATGAATATCAACCCAATGTGATAATCAAGATCTGATATATCCTTTATGCGACCAAAGTAAATAATAGCACCATACACGGGATTGGAGTCTTTTACCCTAGCAATCAGCATAGTATGTGCAACTAAAGATACTCCACTGCATTGAGTTGTTCTAGATTCATCTCGAGATGTTGAATGAAAATGATACTCATTTATGGCAAAAGCACTATATTTACTAACAGCAAAAATAGGCCCTTTAGCCAGCCAACGAACATCGTAACAAATATCTTCCCCATTAGGCAAACATTTTTCAACCTATTAGAAAAATATCTAATTAATGCAATTCAAACAAAACAATTAAAAATATTGTAACACTAACAAACATATTATAAAAATAAACCTCTTTCTTAAACCAACTACTAAATGTCCAACTGTGTTGGCTCTGTAATACTCTTTCGAGAGTCACGAGGGTTGAGATCCTTCAATTCCAACATATGTTGCCTGAATCGTATTAGAAGTTAGAAGATATTTTATATAATAGATTGAGTACAAAGAGTACAGCTTCATGTAATTCTTACCCTATATATGGCTCCACAACAGCAGTGTTTTGTAATACATAAGGATAAGCTTGATCAAGTAACTTAGCATCTACAACATCGATTGTAGCCTACGATAAAGGCTTGTCGGTCCAGACTCTTTCATCAACACGTTCATGAGGATTGCCAATTGATTTCATGTTTTTTAAATAGTCTAAACAAAACTCTAGGGCTTCCTCTACCGCATAACACTCTGCAATGCAACCCTCGGGTCGATGATGATTTCTTACATACCCTTCGAGTGTTTTCATGTATCTCTCAAATGGATACATCCACTTAAAATGAACTGGGATACACAACCTCACCTCTTTAACTACATGCACCATTAAGTGAATCATGACATCGAAAAATGAAGGAGGAAAGTACTTTTCTAACAAACATAAGGTTAATACGATGTCACTTTGCAACTTACCTAGCTTACTAACATGAACAACTTTACTACATATCTCGTTGAAAAAATGACACAATCTTAGGATTGTTCTTTTCACCTTCACGTCTAACACCCCTTTGATTGCAAAAGGGAGAAGTTGTTTCATTAGTACATGACAACCATTAGAATTCAAACCATTCATCTTTGAAACATCATCCGACACAAGATTCTTAAAATTGGAAAGATAATCATGAGGCACTTTTATGTTAGACAGAGTATCATAAAGTGGTTGTCTCTGAGGTATTCAATGTGTAGCATGCAGTCGGACGCCAATGTCGATCCCCTTTTAGCTGACTCTATAGTTCAGGCTTAATGCCCAACGCTTCAAGATCTTTCCATGCTTTTAATCCATCCTTCGTTTGTGAGGAAAATTCAACATTGTCCTATAAACACTCTCGGTCACATTTTTTTCTATGTGCATAAGATCTAACTGATGAAGAACAGGCAACTTCTTCCAATATTCAAGTTAAAAAAACTCGACTTTTTATGCCAAAATTTAGCTCTCTCATCGATACTTCCTTTTTTTCTTCTTTGACATTTCCTTCTTTGGCGTTTCCTTCTTTGACGCTCCCTTCTTTGACTTTATCTTCTTTAACTTTATCTTCTTTGATCCTATCTTCGTTGACGTTATCTTCTTAACCGACGTATTATCAAATCCCGCAAGATAGTCATGTCACACCCCGCTAAAGCGGAAACACGAGGCGTGGCAGTATAAAGGGTTTCATAGCAAAAGTTAAAAGACAACACCAACCATAGTATTAAAAATCATTACAAATTTACAATGGGTTTGAACAACTTTTAAAAGAAATTACAATGAAAATTGAAATACAACACATTCGAATGCTCCTAAAAGTGATGTGTCCCTAAGTGCCACTTACTCGATGATTCCTGAAAAAGCATGTAAAACGAGCGTCAACTATAAAAATAGTTGGTGAGTACTCACAGATAAAAAAATATATATATTGGTTTCATGAATCGAAATCAAGTTTTGATAAAAGTTTCCATAAATGAAAATATATTGTTAAAATGAGTAATCAAGTTCATTGCTACAAGGAGCAAACAATTTCATTGCTAAAACATGTATATAAGTTTCCAATAATAAAATTTCGATGTTGTAATGAGAAACAATGTTCATTGCTATAATGAGAAACAAAGTTCATTGCTATAATTAATAAACAAATTTATTGCCGTAATTAATAACAATTTTTGTATGTGTATTAGCAAACAATGAGTTCACAACCAAGCGTATGACTGATGCCCTATCAAGATCTATGCTTATCGTTCCATAGATTATATGGTATCATGCACTCCAGCAATCGGGCGAGTGAGGAGTTGTCAATTCCTAATAGCGCTATCCATAATGACCATTGGCTCAAAGAGTTAATGGTTGGATTAAAGTATAAGGGAAGGGACTTAAGACGATAAGGCCTCATGTTTCAAGTTTCATAAACATACATAGCAAAATATAGCAATCAATTTTGATACAAAGCAATTTAAATACAACGAACAATAAATAGATTTTCGGGCATGCTTTTCCACCCCAAAACATAAAAACCGAAAATAGGGGAGTCGTGAATACTCACAATTCATTGAGATGATGCAAATGGTGCCTTGACTACACTCCACTCGTACCACTATCGATTCCTACAATAATGATATTCGCTAGTGAGTCTCTAATCGAAATCTAACACTAGTATACTTACTACTACTATAGAATTATGCCAATATTGTGTCAAAATTTAATATTGATAAGTTACAAACATTTTTCTGAAATTGTGAAATTTTATAACTCATGTGATTAAGATAATTTTGGATATTATTTTCCATAATTTTGTAATATTAATTGAGGGTATTTCAATACATTTAAAGGTGTTTTAAACTCCAAAGAATCCAAAAATATTATCAAACAGTTTCCAAAATTCATCAAATTTTACATTTTTGTTCCAAATACAGTAGATGTCTTCCAGAAATTTTCTACTGAATTTTTGATGCGATTAACTATATTTCCAAAATTTTAAGCCTTCATATCAATATAAATTCGTGAAAAATAGTATCTGGATAATAAAACTTCTAAAAAATTTTATATTACTGACACTAAACATGCTTAAGTTGGGAAAAATGTAAAAATGGGTTTCTAAATAGTTTATCCCGATTTTATGATTTTTATGCATTTATTCTAACAAAAATGGAAATAAATAGAAGACAGTTTCCAAAATTGCCCAAACTTTGTTTAACACTGTTATAATACACATAGAAGCTGTGACAAATATAAAAAATATTTTTCAATTAGTTTTGCTATTTTTCTTTGTTTTATGCTCTTGAATAATCATTAAATGGTGAATAATTACCAAAAGTTAAAGTAAATTACCAAAATTTTTGTAAACTCCATTTACAGTGTACATAATCCGGGAAAAAGACCAATGGTGATTTTTATATAGTGTAATCCGATTTTGTGGATTTAAGTGTATTTAATCTTAGAAAATAGGGGAAAAATATTATACTAAATAGAAAAATCATCAAAAATTTTATTTAGAGTTTTAATATTTTTTAAGGTCTTCTGGTAAACTTTCATGAATTTTGGATGAGTAAAACTATTTTTCCCATTATTAGTTCATTATAAATACAAAAATCAGGGAAAAATAGGTATGCATTATAAAAAAATTCTAAAAATATTTTTCTGAGCCTTCCACACAAGTTAGTAGCTGTGAAATTTATTAAATAGACTTTTCAAATTCTTTAAAGTGGTTTTATTATTTATTTGAATACAAACAAAAAGAAAATTCAAAACCATAGCAAACTGTAACAAAAATAGATAAAACTCATTGAGATGTTATCATTTACTTTAGGGGTTATGCACGAATTTACCTAGGATTTATAGACCTCAGAAAGTATTTTATATGAATTATTGCCCTATTTTCTTGCAATAATTATAATAATTCGAGAAAACTGAAATGTTTTCTGAAAATTTGTAGAAAAATCTCATTTTGTTGATGGAATTATGGGAAAAATCGGATTTAGTCAGAAAAGAAGTTTTAGATATTTATTTGGGAATAAATCCTTTATGAACCTATTTGAATGTTTTTTAAGAACAAACTTTGGTAATCAAGCCTCTAAGCTTGAAGATCATCACATGCATGTTGGTTTTTGGGTGAAATAATATCACCATAATCATAAAAATCATGGTTATGAACATGCATGTGAATAATCTCAAAGAAAAGTGTTTATGGAGAAGAAGAAATAGTAAAACTTGAAGGAATAGTGAAGTAGAAATCGATTTTACCTTCAAGAACACCACAATATGATGAAGATTTCAAGTTTGAGGAGTGTTCTTGGGTTTGTTTACTGGAAAATTTCGTGGTTCTTAGGGGAGGAAGAGAGAAAATGTGTGTGAGAGTGTGAGAGAGAAATGAAGTGTGGAGAAAAGGAGGAATGATTTATATTTTTGGGTAAATAGAGTATTAGGGTTTTCAAGTAAGAGAGAGAGGAGAGAGGTCCGGAATTTTCGAGGTATAATACCCTCTTTCA